AGAATATACAATCCTCTCAAGTGCACATGAGTCATTTTCAAAGATAGACCATATATTGGATGACAGGCAAAGTCTCTTAAAATTTAAAAAGATACAAACCATACCAGGCATCTTCTCAGATCAAAAAGGCATAAAACTAGAAATTAACTACAATAAAAACAATCCCAAAAAGTTAAACAGATGGAAGCTAAACAGCATGCTATTAAACAATGACTGGGTTACCAGAGAGATCAAAGAAGAAATTAAAACATCGTGGAAACAAATGACAATGAAAACACAACTATCCAAAATCTATGGGACACAGCCAAAGCAAAGTTTTGAGAGGAAAGTTCATAGCTCTACAAGACTACTGCAAAAAAAAAACAAAAAAAAAAAAACAAGAAACAATGGTAATAAATTCCCTATTCCTACAACTCAAAGAATTAGGAAGAGAGCAACAAGAAAATTCCAGTGTAAGCAGAAGGAAGGAAATAATAAAAATCAGAGTGGAGATAAATGACATAGAGACAAAAGAAACAATAAAAAAGATCAACAGAACAAAGAGCTGGTTCTTTGAAAGGATAAACAAGATTGATGAACCTCTAGCCAGGCTCATCAAGAAGCAAAGAAAGAGGACCCGAATAATCAAAATCAGAATTGAATGAGGAGAAATAACAACAGACTCCACAGAAATACAAAGAATTGTTAAAAAAAAAAATACCATGAACAACTCTATTCCAACAAACTGGACAACCTGGAGAAATGGACATATTCCTAGAAAAATGCAACATTCCAAAAAAAATATTCGGAAAGAATCTAAACGTCTCAATAGGCCAAAAACTATGAAAAAATTGAAGCAGTCATCAAAAAGCTTCAAGCAAATAAAAGCACAAGACCAGATGGCTTCACAGGAGAATTATACCAAACATTCAAGGAAGAACTAAAACCTATCCTCCTCAGACTATTCCAAAAATTCAAGAGGAAAGAATATTTCCAAGTTCATTCTATGAAGCCAGCATCACCCTAATACCAAAACCAGATAAAGACAACACGATGAAAGAGAATGACAACCCAGTACCCTAATGAACACAGATGCCAAAATCCTCAACAAAATTCTAGCAAATCGGATCCAGCAACATCTCAGAAAGATCATACACCATGACCAAGTAGGATTTATTACAGGATTGCAAGGATAGTACAATATCCGCAAATCAATAAATGTGATAAATCACATAAACAAATTGAGAGATAAAAATCACAGCCATATTAATTGATGCAGAAAAAGCATTTGACAAAATCCAACACTCTTTCTTGATAAAACCTCTCAACAAGGTGGAAATAGAAGGATCATACCTCAACATAATAAAAGCTACATATGATAAACCTACAGCAAACATCATACTCAATGAGCAAAAACTAAAACAATTTTCCCTAAGAATAGGAACAAGACAAGGAAGCCCACTCTCACCACTCCTGCTCAACATAGCACTGGAAGTATTAGCCATTGTTATTAGACAAGAAGAAGAAATAAAAGGCAACCAAAATGGAAAAGAAGAAATAAAGCTGTCATTATTTGTAGATGACATGATATTGCACATAGAAAACCCTAAAGACTCCATCAAAAATTATTAGACTTATTAAGTGAATTTGGCAATGTAACAGGATACAAAATTAATGCCAAAATGTTTATGGCATTTCTATACACCAATAGTGAACTTACAGAGACAGACTAAAAAGCAATCCCATTTACCATTGCACCAAAATATTAAGATTCCTAGGAATAAATTTAGCTAAGGAGATAAATGACCTATACATAGAAAACTACAAAACACTGAAAAAAGAGATAGAGGAAAACATAAGCAGATGGAAAACCATATCATGTTCATGGATTGGTAGAATCAAAATCATTAAAATATCCATACTGCCCAAAGCAATCTATATTTTCAATGCATTCACTATTAAAATACCAATGGCATATTTCACAGACCTAGAAAGAACTCTCCAAAAATTCATCTAGGATTAAAAAAAATAAGACCCTGAAAAGCTGCAGCAATCTTGAGAAAGAAGAACAAAGTAAGTGGAATCTCAATGCCAGATTTCAAATTGTATTACAAAGCCACTGTTCTCAAAATATTCTGGTACTGGCATAAGAACAGACATATAGACCAATGGAATAGAATTGAAAACCCAGATCTCAACCCAAACCACCATGTTCAATTAATATTTGACAAAGGAGACATGAACATACAATGGAGTCAAGATAGTCTCTTCAATAAGTGGTGATGGGAAAATTGGACAGATACATGCAAAAATATAAAACTAGATCACCAACTTACAACATACACAAAAATAAACTCAAAATGGATAAAAGATTTAAACACAAGACAGGAAATTATAAAAATACTAGAGGAATCCATAGGCAAGGAATTCTCAGACATATGTTGAAGCAACTTATTCACTGATACTGCTCCTAGGGTAATGGAAACTAAAGAGAAAATAAACAAATGGGACTATATCAAAATAAAAAGCTTTTGCACAGCAAAAAAAAAAAAAAAAAAAAAAAAACCATCAACAAAACAACAAGAAACATATTTGCTAATATTATCACCGATAAAGGTTTAATGCCCAACATTTACAGGGAACTCAAAACTTAACAAAAAGAAGATAAATGATCCAATAAAAAAATGGGTAACAGACCTAAATAGATACTTTTCAAAAGAAGACAGAAGGCCAAGATACATATGAAAACACGCTCAAAGTCATTAATCATCCAAGAGATGCAAATCAAAACAACAATGCAGTACCATCTCACATCTGTCAGAATGGCTATTATGGACAAATCAACAAAAAAATGCTGGCAAGGATGCAGAGATAAAGGAACCTTCATGCACTGCTAATGAGAATGCAGACTGGTGCAACCACTGTGAAGCATAATATGGAGTTTCCACAAAAAACTGAAAATGGAACTCCCATTTGACCCAGTGATCTCACTTCTAGGGATATATACCAAGAAACTAGAATCACCTATCAGAAAGGATATATGCACCCTTATGTTCATAGCAGCACAAATTATATTAGTTTAGATTTGGAAACAGCCTAAATGTCCATCAGCAGATGAGTGAATTAGAAAACAATGGTACATCTACACAATGGAATACTATGCTGCTATAAAAAAAAAAAAAAAGAAGGAATTCTTACCATTTGCTGGAGCATGGATGAAACTGAAGAGCATTGTGCTAAGTGAAATAAGCCAGGCAATGAAAGAAAAATACCACATGATCTCACTCATTTGTGGATAATAAAAAACATTATAACCTGATGAATAAAAAGATAGATACAGAGGCAATGAGGCATCGAATAGACCGTCAAATTATAGCAGGAAGTCTGGAAAGTGTTGGGAAGGGAGGGGGGAGAGATTAACTGAAGGAGTTATATGTAGGCATATAAGCACAACCAATAGACATGAGACACTGGGGAGGTGGGTGGATGAGAGTATGTGCCAGGGTTTAGGGGAGGCTGAGAGAAGGTCAATGGGGAAAAAATTAGATATATGTACTACTATTTGTAATATTTCAAACAATAAAATTAAATTTAAAAAAATGTATTGAAGAAAAGAGGGCAGGAAAAAAAATAATGAAATATTCAAAAAATATACTAGAGGCCTAGTGCATGAAATTCATGCATGGAAGTGAGATATTCATTCAGCCCAGCCTGTACCCTCTCCAATCCAGCACCCTGCCAGGATGTCCAACTGCCAGTTTAGGGATCAGACCTAAACTGGCAGTCAGACACCCCTCTCACAATCCTGTTGGCTCCTAAACTGCCTGTTTGCCTGGTTGCCCCTAACCTCCCCACCACCACTCCAGCCTGGTTGCCCCACACAGCCTGCTTGTTCAGTCATTTGCTCATACTCACTAATCCCCTTGCCAGCCTGGTCATAGGCAGCCATCTTGTGATAGTGTAATGGTCAATTTGCATATTACCTCTTTAATATATAGTATAAAGTAGAGAAAAGAGTAAAAGAAACTCAAATCAGGCAAAAAAACAAGAAGCACAAAAATATAATATAACTTAAACCTCTACATATCAAAATTAGACCAAATGTGATTACAAATGCTAATTAAAAGACAAAAATATCAGATGAAATTTTTTTAAATTTTTTTATTAAATTATTATCTGTGTACATATTTTAACATTGCCCCCCATACATACCCTCCCTCCCCAGAGTTTTGTGTCCATTGGTTGTACTTATATGCATGTATACAAGTCCTTCAATCAATCTATTATCTCCCCCAGATCTCCCTACCCTACCTGCTGTAATTTGACAGTCTGCTTGTTGCTTTACTGTCTCTATATCTATCTTTTGGTTCATCAGTTTATACAACTATAGGCTTCATAGAAGTGATATAAAAAAGTCATAAAAATACAGAAAGTTTAAAGCAACAAGATAGAAAAAAAGTGTATCATGCAAATACCAGTGAGAATTTGATAGAGCCACATTAATAGCAGGCCTAGTAATTTTTAAGGCAAACAATCAAACAGAAACTATAAAATAATAAACTTAGTCCTTTCGTTAGGACAAAGTGTCTCTATCTAGAAATAATAGTATTACTTTTTAATTTATATGTATTTTAATAATAACATATCAAGGTTTAAAGCAAAATCTGATATAACATATGAAGAAATAGAGAAATTAATAATCATTATGGACATTTTTTTTAAGATTTAAAATTTATTTTGAGAGTGAGAGAAGAATGAAGAGGGAGCGAAAGAAAGAAACATCCATGTGAAAAATAAACAGATTGACGACCCTGAGAGGGAATAGAACTGTCAATATTTCAGTGTATAGGATAATGCCCAACCAACATCTAAGATAGGATTCATGAAACATTGAAGTAAATAACTAATAAATATCTATAAGTATAAACAAAATATTTGTAGACATATTTATAAATTATGGAAGAAAGTCCTCCTAAATTTAATTGAAAATAATTTTATAAGATTTGAAATTAACTACTTACTAATAAGTGTCTCACTTCCGGTAGATTTAAGATCGCTGGGTTGAGGTTTGGTTCTTAAAAATAAATCTATTTCCTCAGACATCATTTTTTCATCAGATATCCTAGCAATTTTCTGAGTTAGAAATGCTAAATAGAAAAACAAATTTATTTTAAAATTTCAGGATATACCATATAGTCAGCAAGATTTCTTCTCATTTGTGCAAAATGAGTGAAAGAATACTGCAAAGCCACATAGGTGAACTACTTATTTAAATAGACTGTGTGAATAGTTTTCATGAGTGTGTATGGAGGCATATTAGTTATTCACCAAACAAAAATACCAAGCAAATGGTACCTAAACTTTCTTTAAATGTAGTTCTCTAATTATTTAAGGTTATAAACACATCAAAGTGTAAAATTTCTACAAAATATTTACTTAAGCACATTCATAAACCCCTCAAAATATTTTGATGTTCTTAATATAAAACAATTCAAACATAACTACAATCATTTCACTTACCATTACGCCTGGTTGATCTAGAAGTTTTTTTCTCCACCATGTGCATGGGAGCTTTTGACAGTTTTTGATTCTCAAACTTAAGCGTTTCATCTGGTGCTTGATCTTCATCTACTTCTGATTCTTTATCTTCATCTACATAAAGAAATGTATTTAGTTTACTAAATAAAAAACACAAATTTATTGTGAAATATCTAGATTTCAAATTTAAACAAATATACAGGTGCTTTAACCCTTATTGCTAGAAAGTTGCAAGTAAATTACCATAATGCTAGATCTGACATGAAAATTGGATAGACAATTCTAACTGGGTTGTTTCTTTATTGGAGGACGTAATGCTAAATGAAAAAAAGTTAAAAGACAGATTATCTATTATACTACCTTTGGGGTAAAAATAAAAGGAAAAAAGTAGAAAGAAATATACACTTACAAAATAAAACACAAAAAATATAAATCAGAAAACAATATGCTTAAAAGTCTGATGTTCTACTCACTGGGCTATCTGGGATATCCATATGATTTCACTCATATGTGGCATATAAAACAGAAAGCAAAAAATAAACAAGAAAAACAAACAGACAAAAACTCAGACAAGAGTGTGGAGGTTACCAAAGGGATGGGAGTGAAGGGCTGTACAGGGAGTCAAATGTATGGTTACAGAAGATAATTTGACTTTTAGTAGTGGGTACACAATGCAATATACAGATGATGTAACATAGAATTGTACACTTGAGGCCTATTTAATCTTATTAACTAATGTCATCCAAATAGTTTTATATATATAATATAATTAAATTACCTTCAAGAGGGTGGCAGGACTTGGAGAACAAAGGAAAAGTTTACTGGAGGGATGATACTTCTTAAAGTAAACCTTTTGTATATGTAATATTTGGGAAGCAGATTAATGTTCAATATAAATCAAAAAATTAAATTATCTTAAATCTAGATTTTAAAAAAGGAAGTAAATCTAAAAACAAACAATTGAACCATCTAAAAAACAAAACAAAGCACTAATCAAAGTAAGCCAAAAATAGATATCTGGCATAGATCCTCAGGCTTAGGAGACTGAGGTGAAAATAGTATCATTAAATCTTTTCTTTAATCCTCACCTGAGGATATGATTTATTGATTTTAGAGACAGATGAGAGGAGAGAAATATTGTTGTGGGAGACACATCAATTGGTTGCCTCCAGTACATACCATGTCTGGCAATCAAATCTGCAATCTACATATGTGCCCTGACTTGTAATTGAACTCACAGTTCTGGCACACAGAGGTACTATATATCCTATGTAATAAAAAAGTAATATGCAAATTGACTGTACCTCTGCTACACCCATAAGCCATGCCCACCAGCTAATCAGGAGTGAATATTAAATAAACTCAACCAAGATGGCTGCAGCCACAGAGAGCAGGAGGGAGGCTTGGGTGTCTCTGGCAATGAAAGAAGCCAAGCTTTCCACCTGCCCTTGCCGGCCTTGGCCTCCACTCAAGGCTACAAAGATTCAGTGATAGAAGATAAATAAATCCAAACAGAAATGGTGGCAGACATGGAGCTGGAAAGAGAAGGAGGCTAGGGTGGCCCCTGACAATGGAGAAAGACAAGCTTCTGAAGCCCTGGCCTGCCTTGGCCTGTGCTCCAGGCTACAAAGTTTCAATTATAAAAGATACATAAATCCCAACAAAAATGGCTGCCTTCATGTGGCAACAGGAGGCTTGGCTTCATTCTGGGCTACAAAGTTTCAATTGTAGAAGGTAAATAAATTCCAGATACCAGGGCCTCTCCTTGGGTTGCCAGGGGGCATGGCCAGACTGAAAACCACCACAGGCCCCTCGCTCAGGCTGTCCCACATCTCAAGGGAACCCCCACCCTGATCAGGGACACCTTTCAGGGCAAACCAGCTGTCCCCCAGCCATGCATCAGGACTCTGTCCTAGCTAATAAAAGTAGTATGTAGATTGACCATCACTCAAATACACAAGATGGCTGCCCCCATGTGGTCAAAGATCCTGCCCCAATGTGGACACAAGATGGCCAGTAGGAGAGGGCAGTTGCGAGTGACCAGGCCTGCAAGGGAGGGCAGTTGGGAGCAATTAAGCCTGCAGGGGAGTGCAGTTAGGAATGACCTGGTCAGCAGAGAAGGGAAGTTGGAGGTGACTGGCCTGTAGGGAAGGGCAGTTGGTGGGGGACCCAGGCATGCAGGGAGAGAAGTTGGTGGGACCAGGCCTTCAGGGAGGGCAGTTTGGGGTGACCAGGCCTACAGGGGAGGGCAGTTAGGGGCAAACAGGCTGGCAGGGGAGCAGTTAGGCATCAATCCGGCTGGCAGGGGAGTAGTTAGGGGGTAATCAGGCTGGCAGGCAGAAGTGATTAGGGGCAATCAGGAAGGCAGGCAGGCAAGCAGTTGGGAGCCAGTAGTTCTGGATGTCCGATTGCCCAATTAGGCCAGATCCTACTGGGGTGATCCTACCAGATTAGAGAGGGTGCAGGCTGGGCTGAGGGACATGCCCCCCAATGAATGAATTTCATGCACTGGGCCTCTAGTTTAATAAATAAAATAATTGATTTTATAAATTAGCTGTTTCTACACAAAATGGAAGTTAAAGTAACTTCTTAATCAGAAAGTAAATATCTGAAATGGAATTTTCCTAGTTAAATAATAATAATAATAATAATAATAATAATAATAAAGTGTTGGGAAAGATGTGGAGAAAATAAAATTCTTGTTCACTGTTGATGGGAATGTTAAATGGTGCAGCCTTTATGGAAAACAGTATTGAGGTTCCTCAAAATATTAGAACTTCCATGCCCTAATCTGTATAGCTCAGTTGTTTGGAGCATTCTCTTGTACACTGAAAGACCATAGGTTCAATTCCCACTCAGGGAAAATACCCAGATTGCAGGTTCAATCTCCAGGTAGTACATGTGTGAAAGGCAACTGATTTATGTCTTTCTCTTTCTAAAATCAATTAAATGTGTCCTCAGTTGGTAATTAAAAAAAGAGTAGGATTGCTGGATCATATGGTATGACTAGAGGCCTGGTGCATGAAATTCATGCATGGGAGGGTCCCTCAGCCTAGCCTGCACCCTCTCCAATCTGGGACCTCACGAGGGATGTCCCACTGCCCATTTAGGGCAGTCAGACATCTCTCTCACAATCCAGGACTGCTGGCTCTCAACTGCTCACCTGCCTGCTTTCCTGATTGCCCCTAACTACTTCTGCGTGTCAGCCTGATCATCCCCTAACCACTGCCCTGCCAGCCTGACTGATGTCTAACTGCTCCCCTGCCAGCCTGTTTGTCCCCAACTTCCCTCCTCTGCTGGCCTGGTCATCCCTAACTGCCATCCCCTGAAGGCTTTATTGCCCCCAACTACTCTCCCTTGCAGGCCATCTTGTGTCCAAATGGAGGATGGATCTTTGACCACCTGGGGGAAGCTACCTTGATCTTGCATGTTGGAGTGATGATCAATCTGCATATTACTCTTTTATTAGATAGGATAGAGTCCTGGTGCATGGGTGGGGGACATCTGGTTTGCCCTGAAGGGTGTCCTAGATCAGGGTAGGGGTTCCTTTGGGGCATGGGACGGCCTGGGTGAAGGGTCTGTGGTTGTTTGCAGGCAGCCATGCCCCATGGAGACCCAAGCAGAAGCTCTGGTATCTGAAATATATTTATCTTTATAATTGAAACTTTGTAGCCTGGAGTAGAGACCTAGGCTGGCCAGGGCAGGTGGAAAGCTTGGCTTCCTCCATTGCCAGGGCAACCCTAGCCTGCTCTCTCCAGCTCTGTGGCTGCTGTCATTTTTCTTGGAATTTATCTTCTATAATTGAAACTTTGTATTCTTGAGTGGAGGCATGGACTGGCCAGGGTGTGTGGAAAGCTGGGCTTCCTCATTGCCGGGGAAACACAAGCCTCCCTCCTGATCTCTGTTGTGGCAGCCATCTTGGTTGGGGTTAATTTGCATATCTGCTCAGATTGGCTGGTGGGCATGACTTGTTGGTATATTTGCATATTACTATCTTATTGGGTAGATTCATATGGTATTTATGTAAGAGTTTAGATCAGAACCCAAAGACATATTGCACTCCCACGTCACTGCTTCATTATTCACAATAGCAAAGCTGTAGAAGCAATCTTAATGTCCATAAACAGTTAATGGATAAAAAAATGTGATATACACACACACTGAGAAATATTTAGTCTTTTTAAAGTAGAAAATCCTATTGTGTACAACAATATAAATGAACTTTGAAGGCTTTGTGCAAAGTGGAATAAATCAATAACAGAAGAACAAATATCCTGATTCCACTTATATGAAATATCTAAAGTAATTAAGCTCATAAAAGCAGAAAGCAAAATAGTGATTATTATCATAACTGGAAATCGGGGAGAGCAGTGAGTTCCTATTCAATAGGTATAAAGTTTCAATTTTACAATATGAAAAAGTTCCAGAGACCTGCTATACAACATTTAGCTTATGGTTAAAAATTTTGGTTTGTACACTTAAGAATTTTTTAAAATATATATTTTTATTTATTTCAGAGAGGAGGGGAGAGGGAGAGACAAATGTCAGTGATGGGAGAGAATCATTGATCAGCTGCCTTCTGCATACCCCACTGGGGATTGAGCCCACAACCTGATATGTGCCCTTGACTGGAATCAAACCAGTCTGCAGGTCGACACTCTAACCACTGAGCCAAATCAGCTAGGACTACACTTACAAATTTATTAAAAGGATATATCTTTTGTTTTGTTTTACCACAATTTAAAAATTCACTTTAGTTCTAGCTGGATTTGCTCAATGGATAGAGCATCGGTCTGTGAACTGAAAGGTCCCAGGTTTGATTCTGGTCAAGGGCACATGCCCAGGTTGTGGGCTATGTTCAAAGAGAATTTATTCCAGATGCTAGTATAGCTCTATATTTAAGTCACTATGTTAATTAAAAATAAGTCATATGAAGTATCTAAATTAACCCTAAAAAAGAATTTTATTTCTGTTCTAATAAATAAGGAATGAAAAAAATGAAAAAAGCAACCAAAAGTAATTATACTTACAAAAAAAAAAATCAAAAGCATTCTTATTAAATTCAGGAACAAATAGAAGATGCTCCCATAACTGCAATTATTTATCAACTATAG